GTGTTCCATCTCAGTGTTCCATCTCAGTGTTCCCTCTCAGTGCTCCCTCTTGGTGTTCCCTCTCAGTGTTCCATCTCAGTGTTCCCATCTCAGTGTTCCCATCTCAGTGTTCCCATCTCAGTGTTCCCTCTCAGTGTTCCCTCTCAGTGTTCCCTCTCAGTGTTCCATCTCGGTGTTCCCTCTCGGTGTTCCCTCTCGGTGTTCCCTCTCGGTGTTCCATCTTTGTGATCCCTCTCAGTGCTCCCTCTCAGTGTTCCCTCTCAGTGTTCCATCTCAGTGCTCCCTCTCAGTGCTCCCTCTCAGTGCTCCCTCTCAGTGTTCCCTCTCAGTGTTCCATCTCAGTGTTCTCTCTCAGTGTTCCCTCCCAGTGTCCCCTCTCAGTGTCCCCTCTCAGTGTCCCCTCTCAGTGTCCTCTCTCAGTGTTCCCTCTCAGTGTTCCCTCTCAGTGTTTCCTCTCAGTGTTCCCTCTCAGTGTTCCCTCTCAGTGTTCCCTCAGTGTTCCCTCTCAGTGTTCCCTCTCAGTGAAATTGATTAGTTTGAAAAACATTCCTTGTCATTTACTGCATTTGTATTTGAATACAAGTTGATTTTTGAGATGAAATCACAGTATGTTCTACTGGCTTTGGCCTCCCACTGTACTGCACTGCACTACCCTTGGTATTCATAACTGCGTGGGACTGAATCTAGTGCGTTTGGCCCCCACTGTATTGCACTACCCTTGTAGTCATAACTGCGTGGGACTGAATCTAGTGGCTTAGGCCCCCACTGTACTGCACTACCCTTGGTAGTCGCAACTGCGTGGGACTGAATCTAGTGGGTATGGCCTCCCACTGTACTACGCTACCCTAGTTAGTATGTAAACTGTGGAAATAACAGAGCTCCACAACGACTATACTAGCTGTCATCAGGATATCACAAATAGAAAGTATCGCAACTCAGTAATTTCACATTTTGTATCTTTTCTTAGTTGGTGGTATATCCATTAAGGACCATTTTGAAGTAAATATAGTTCCAGTGAAAATTCAATTGACTTACAGGCTTTTTAAAACGATGATGACTTTCTTCTTTCCTGGGAGAAACATTGAACCACAATCAGAGTCCATCGTTGCTGAGGACCAGGTTTTCTTACAAAAACCAGGTGAGTAAAATATTTATAAAAATGAAACTGAATTATAATGTTTCATTTTTTTATTCTACTTGATCAGGCCTTTTAATGTTTTCTCTGTACATAAATTAAATAACAACACAGCATCCAAGTTTTTTATTATTTTGGCCGTACACATCCAAAACCATGATGTATTAATGACTGACGACAAGACACACATTTGCGTGAGGTACCTAAACACAGATACATGCAATCAGGTCACATAACAGCCACTATATAGCATCTTGAAAAACCATTCCACCATTTGTTGAAATTATCATAATTTGTACCATGTGGTTTATTATCACTTTATCTGTCTGATTGCACGTGGCACTGTTAACAAATTTGTAATTTGTTACATTTGTTACATTATGGTTTAAGAGCAAATTGAAATACGGCATAAATTGTCTTACCATTTGGGTTTATTGTATATTCATTAAAAAGTTGCTTAAAATCATCATAAGTTTAAAGTAGGAATAAGTGGATGTAGAACTTGAACCAAAAAGCTTAGATTCTGCACTGATGACTTTTTCATGTTCATGTTCATTTTCTTCAATACTAACCATTACACATCACTTGTAATGCAGTATCTTACTAAGAAATGAACATGGATCATTTGCACAGCAAGGTACTAATAAAAAAACAACACACATGATTGGCAAGGTGAACACAGTTTTACTCTGTTTTAATTTATCTTTCATTAGGATTTGATGATGATTTGGAATCTATTGGACAAGGACTACATAGGGTATGTACTTGGAGTTGATGTGTAACATGTTTGATGGATGTACATGACTTTACGTCTTGTGGCAAGATACACTGATCATGATCAATGATCTTGTTACAACAACAAAATCAAAAACACCTATATTCTGCTTTTGACTTTTCACTTGGAAGATTGGCAATTAGGTTCTATAATGAAGGATTTACAATTATATTGATATCTGTGTTATGATGACTAACTACACGTTTTTGTATTTCTCAGACTGGTAGTATTAGATCTACAAGTAGTGATGACTCTGTATCCACGACAACAAGTGGATCTGTCTCTACACCATCTAAGGTATAGTGATTTTTTGCTTTTTTTCATAATTCTGCTGTCTCTGTTCCTTTTGGTTATCTATGCATCAATAAGAACACTGACATTTAAACTGTTTATTTGGGAAGTTCATTTTGAATATAGTAATTTTGTTTGATTCTAACTTGCTCGTGTTACAAATAAATTTATCATCATAGCTTGTATGACTATTGTTCAACTGTGTTAGTAAGCCAACCTCATCCATGACTTGTAGTAAGTTTTTTACTGCCTAATTTTTGTGATTTTATGGCAATATTTTTGCTAAAGTTGTTGAAATTTTGTGTCATAGGACTCCTGATAAATTGTCACAAAATTTCCCAATTTTCACTGACTGGTGAAAATTTGTCACTAGCAAAATTAAAGTTAGCCAATCACATCATGGCTTTTATAATTATGATTCAACTGTATGAGTGGGCCAATCACATCTTGGCTTTTATAATTATGATTCAAATTTGAGTGATCGATTAGCTAAATGTATATTTTTTCTATAAATGAGATGCAGTAAACATTTCAAACTGGAAATTGAGAAGATGAACATTTTCTTTTTTCAGACATCAAAGAAAAAGAAAATAGCAGTTCCCAAAATTCTGATGAGTACTAATGCTATAGACAAGATGAGAGAGAGGGCCGCTAGTAACATGTTCCTGTACATAAAGATTCCAGCAGTGCCTCTTTGTGTCAGTTACAAGGTAAGGCCCTAGTGTGGCTTTGTGTCAGTTACAAGGTAAGGCCCTAGTGTGGCTTTGTGTCAGTTACAAGGTAAGCCTTAGTATGGCTTTGTGTCAGTTACAAGGTGAGGCCTAGTGTGGCTTTGTGCCAGTTACAAGGTAAGAGCCTAGTGTGATTTTGTGTCAGTTACAAGGTAAGGCCCTAGTGTGGCTTTGTGTCAGTTACAAGGTAAGGCCCTAGTATGGCTTTGTGTCAGTTACAAGGTAAGGCCCTAGTGTGGCTTTGTGTCAGTTACAAGGTAAGCCTTAGTATGGCTTTGTGTCAGTTACAAGGTAAGGGCCTAGTGTGACTTTGAGCCAGTTACAAGGTAAGAGCCTAGTGTGATTTTGTGTCAGTTACAAGGTAAGGCCCTAGTGTGGCTTTGTGTCAGTTGCAAGGTAAGGCCCTAGTATGGCTTTGTGTCAGTTACAAGGTAAGGCCCTAGTGTGGCTTTGTGTCAGTTACAAGGTAAGGCCTTAGTATGGCTTTGTGTCAGTTACAAGGTAAGGCCTAGTGTGGCTTTGTGTCAGTTACAAGGTAAGGGCCAAGTGTGACTTTGTGCCAGTTACAAGGTAAGGCCCTAGTGTGGCTTTGTGTCAGTTACAATGTAAGGCCCTAGTGTGGCTTTGTGTCAGTTACAAGGTAAGGCCCTAGTGTGGCTTTGTGTCAGTTACAAGGTAAGGGCCTAGTGTGGCTTTGTGTCAGTTACAAGGTTAGGGTCTAGTGTGGCTTTGTGTCAGTTACAAGGTAAGGGCCTAGTATGACTTTGTGTCAGTTACAAAGTAAGGCCCTAGTGTGGCTTTTGTGTGAGTTACAAGGTAAGGCTCTAGTGTGGCTTTGTGTCAGTTACAAGGTAAGGCCCCAGTGTGGCTTGTGTCAGTTACTAGGTGAGGCTCTAGTATGGCTTTGTGTCAGTTACAAGGTAAGGCTCTAGTGTGGCTTTGTGTCAGTTACAAGGTAAGGCCCCAGTGTGGCTTTGTGTCAGTTACAAGGTAAGGGCCTAGTATGGCTTTGTGTCAGTTACAAGGTAAGGGCCTAGTATGGCTTTGTGTCAGTTACAAGGTAAGGGCCTAGTAAGGCTTTGTGTCAGTTACAAGGTAAGGGCCTAGTACGGCTTTGTGTCAGTTACAATGTAAGGCTCTAGTGTGGCTTTGTGTCAGTTACAAGGTAAGGGCCTAGTGTGGCTTTGTGTCAGTTACAAGGTAAGGCCTAGCGTTGCTTTGT